CAGCCTCGGAGTTCTTAGCCCTTTGGGGCGCTGGTCTGTTTTTAAGGGAATTAGGGTTTAGGGTTTGGGGTTTAGGGGCTAGGGTTTAGGGCTTAGGGCTTGGAGGTTCATGGGTAGTTATAAGTGGGGTTACAAGTCCCCTAATTTGGGTTATAACTATAGTTACCCTATTTATAACTCCACTTTTGACTACCCATGAACCTCCAAGTAAGGGCTACCCGGATACCCGAAGCCCTAAACCCAAATCCTAGGGTTTTAAAAGGGTCTAACATTTATAGACAAAAGGGGCCTTTACGGCTTAGGGTTTAGGCTTTAGGGGTTTAGGATTTCTAAGGTTTAGGGGGGTTAGGATTTAGCACCTTTGGGTTACCATAAATGGAAGGACGGAGTGTTCGTACGGTTTTAAACGGATTGCCGAACACAACAAGTCCTAAACTTCCTAAACCCCGAGGGTTTACAAAGGGATTCCAAATCAAGCGTACCTGCATGACCCGTCAACCGCGCAAGCAGACTTTAGCGGTTTATATCAATGGATTCCTAAATCCTCAATCCTACACCCTAAACCCCATAACCCTCAACCCTAAACCCCTAAACCCTAAATCCCAAAATCAACCCAAAACCCCTAAACTCTAAACCCCAAACCCTAAACCCCAAAACCCTCAACCCAAAACCTAAACTCTAAACCCCTATAAACCCCAAACCCTCAACAAAAATCGCCAAATGGGATTTCCGGAGCCTGGGCCCGGAAAGGGCTTGGCGTCTCGAGCTTTAACACTTAAGGGCTTCCTCCAAGAGCTTTGGGTTTAGGGTCCCTAAACCCTAAACCCTAAACCCTAAAACCCTAAACCCTAAATCCTAAACCCTAAACCCTAAATCCTAAACCCTAAAGGGTTTAGGGTTTCGGACTTGGGGCTCCATTGTGGGGTTTAGGGGTTAGGGTTTTAGGCTTCGGAGTTTAGGGTTTAGGGGCTTAGGGTATAGGGTTTAGGGGCTTAGGGTTTAGGGTTCAGGGCTCCATTCTGTAGTTCCGTTTTTTGGGGGCTTTACCAGTCCAAAAATTAAATTAGGATCCTATAAGGTAATCCGAACAAGGAACTGCAAGGGAGACCGTCGGGTAGGGGCTTCAGATTTCTCAAAAAAAGACCATGGCACTCAGTAACCAGGGCTTTAAACAATGTATGTATTGAAGTACTAAGCTTTTTAACTAGGTTTCCCAGTAGCCCCTTGGAAATAAGGATACCCTTTTTCCTACTACTTGGATTTAATAAGGGAACCCAAAAAGAAAAAGGGCAAAAGGGTACTACTCGGTAACCTAGTTAACTGAGTCCCATGATCCTGGAGGTACCGTTGGCACCTGCACTGCTGCTCGAAAGCCGTTGCAGCATGAGGTTCGTGCTCAAGTGTGGCCGACACAGGGGGTTTTGGGTTTATGGCTCAACCCTACACCCTAAACCCCATAACCCTCAACCCTAAAGCCCTAAACCCTAAAGGGTTTAGGGTTTATGGCTCAACCCACCAAGCTTCCAACAGATCCCAAAGCTGCAGTCTCTCAAGCTCCTCACGTTACATTCGGCGGGATGCAGAAAGCCCTAAAATCCCAAAGCCCCAGAATAGGAGTTGGGATTAGGGGGACCCTTGGGATGTAAACCCTCTCAATAAGGTCCCTTTTAAGAGAGCCAGAAGAAGGGTCAAGAAGGGTCCTCCTTTAAGGGGTCTCCCCAATACTACCTAGGACAGAACGGCCAGAAGTGGTCGACATGTCACTTCGCCAGCCGCAGTAGGCGTGCCAGGCGCACCAGGCGAACCACTTTCAAGCTTCGCGTCATCTGCCCATGCAAACAGTCACTCGAAGGCTGCAATAAATCATGTATGTAATGACACCTGTCTCTTGTTCATAGAGTTCCCTACTGCTTCGAAGCCGCAGCTCAGGCCTTTGCGTTTCCAAGGCTCTGAGGATGGATGCTACTTCTCCCACTCCTACGCCTACTTGTGCTCCTCCTCCTACCACTACGACGACTACTGCGAGTCAAGTAATCGTAACGATGATACTGCCATCAGACCCATCATTCATCATTGCTCACTTTGTCCATAAATTAGGAGTCAGGATTAGGGGAAGCCTTGGGGATATAGACCCTCTCAATAAGGTCCCCCTTTTAGGGGTCTACCTAACACTGCCTACCCTAAACCCTAAACCCTAAACCCCTAAACCCTAAACCCCTAAACCATACATCTCCACCTGCGCCGCCGTGCTGTCTCCAATCCAAGACCATGGGATGGCCGCAACGGCATCCAGTGCAAACCAGCCTTGGGAGGCGTTTAGGTTTTAGGGTTTAGGGTTTAGGGTTTAGGGTGCGGCGTTTTGGGCTTAAGAGCTTTGGGGGCTTAGAAGAGGGGTTTTCGGGTGTAGGGATTTAGGGTTTAGGAGTTAGAGGTTTAGGGTTTAGGGGCTTGGGGATTTAGGGGTTTAGGGGTTTAGGGGTTTAGGGATTAGGGATTTAGGGATTTAGGGGTTTAGGGTTTAGGGATTTAGGGGTTGGGGGTTTCGGGTCTAGGATTGTGAGGGTAAGGGTTTAGGGCTTAGGGTTTCGGGGCCCGGCTCTGGGACTAAGGTAGGCGAAGAAAACCCAGTTCGGGTGGTGTAAATCTCTGCGACTGCGAGAAACTATGCAAGTAAAAAGCTAAAGACATGGGTGGCTCTAGTCTTTCTGAGCAGCAATAACCACAATCCAACCCCCCTACACTCTAAAAGGACTCTACTTGCTTATCAACACCAAGTGAACCCTTCCACCCACACCCGAACTCCTTAAACCTTTAAACCCCCTACGCCCTAACTCCTCAGCAACTCCTGAATATGACCGCTCTAATAATTGGAATAGGGATTGGGTTTGGGCGTGCGTTGTAGTAGAATTGCAATAGGGAGCCTGAGGAAAGGGCATTTCCACTCAATCCTACCCCCGCAATCGACCATTCAGTCGTCAACACCAGCTCCTAAGACCAAAGACCTTGAACCACCCCAAAACCCTAAACCCTAAGCCCCCAGAACCCCTAAGCCCTAAACCCCCAACCCACGCCCTAAACCCGCTTAGGCAAGTCTTGTAGGAAGCTGAGGTCTGGACCTGTCATATACTTCTTTGCCTCAGCTGGCAGGAGGTGATGGAATCATCGTCTCGGATGTCGGGTCTTTCGTTCTGATCCTAGGTTCCCCCGTAGCCCCTCAACAATCAGTAGTGCCTAGAAGCCATCAAACTCTGACTCCTGAAATGCTAAACGAGGCTCGGAAGGAATTCTCCAGCGCTAGCAGCCCTAACCCTAACCCCTAAACCCTAAACCCAAACCCCTAAACTTTAGCCCTAAACCCTAAACCCTAAACCCTAAACCCCTAAACCCTAAACCCTGTTTACGGCCAGCTGCCACAGAGGATGGCAGAAGGACCAAGGCCCCATGGCGATGACGGAAGCCTGGGCCATGTACCAGTCCGAGGCTGTCCACATAAATCAGACGGTGACCATGAAAACATAGGTTGAAGAGAGAGAGAGAGAGAGAGAGAGAGAGAGAGAGAGCGAGCGAACGAGAGAACAGCATCAGTTCTCTGTCTGACACATCAGAGGCCAGCAGTGAAAAGCCCTGCAACTTTAAAAGACTCATCGGCGCGTGATCCCGTGCGCAAACCTCCCTCAGACGCCGGGTTCTATATAGGTCTAGGGTATAACACACAGGCAGGGTTTTGGGCTATGCTATACGAGAATACCCTAAACCCAACCCCGCTATAGTGCACCAGCCGGCCTGTGAGGAAGGTGACAAGGATGTCAGCCAAGAAATACCTGCGGGAGGCGGGGGAGGGGGGGGGGGGG